GCGGCACGTACTCCAGGTGTGCCTCCCATTCACACACTGTCCGCAACTGGTGGTCATCGCAGACACACATCCGCGGACACATCGACGTCACCCGACATGTCCAACACATCCACACCATCACCACTACTCTCCACACAGTCTTCATTTGGCACATCATTGCATACAATCGTTATCTCTAATCAACCACTAATTTGTGGACCTTTTCAGCGATTCATTAGATATGAGATAAAGAGTTCAAAACATCCAACGAGTCATTTGATCCCAAATTGCAATCCATACGACACTATCATATCAATTGAATCCGAGATTTCACTTTCAATATGATATTCACAGTCATTATGACATCAATACAAACAGTGAGTCTAAACACTGCACACAAATTGCTGTCAATTGGCACTCATTTCACTGATCATAGAGTCTATGACATAGACTACAGCGTCAAACACGACATCATCTGAAGTGTCAATCACTACTCAATCAATGCACTGACAGTCAACTCATTGTGTCATATATTCACCGAAATATGTGTCAAATATAACACTCAATACAAACTCAATTCATTGAATATAATGCTAAATAAATAACAAATCAAATAAATAAAGTGATAATTAGTATAACAGTTGATAACAAAGAGTGCAAAACAATAGCAATGAATGTGTGAATGAATGCCAGGAATGCCTTCACTGCCACTCAAACACAACCATATATTAGACATACATTTAGCACACGTTCACAGCATTAGTGACGCCAACAGCACATAACACTTGCGTTTGTGTCATACGCCCGACCCCTCTATTATTGTGCGTTCAATGTATGCGACATGAAAACCAATTGTAAGACACAATCATGCGATTGAAGCGCCACTTTTAAACCCATTCAAGTGTTTTGACACCACTTATAAAGTTAAGAAAATCGCTTTAATCATTCATTTTACTTCATTTTAACCAATAAACTCATATATACTATTACACTGAGCAAACACCTTACCATAGATTGTAACTTGGTCAACATTTTCGTTGTTGTAAGTGACTAAAATAGTTTGACACAAATAATTAATTTTAATGTTTTGTCAAAATTGACCCAAACTGTGACTTATGGTTGCTTTGTATTGACAACAGTTATATTTCAATGTACTTCCTATAGATATATCTCAACTTTGCACTTAAATAACTCTAACTTTATTTGAGCAAGTTGGCATTACATGTATTGATCAAGAAACAAGTACAAGAAACCTACATTCAAATTAATTTCTTATTAATATGAGTAGGCTAAACTCTAACCGACATTGAATTGTGGGAGATTGCATTCTTGACAATTTAATGTATAAATTTTGTATATTAATATTGTTATGTTGTGTATTAAGTTACTGTTGTGTGTAATTATTACACTGTAATATGTATTATTAGTGTAATTATATGTGTTTATTAATAATATACAGTACTTGTACAGTATGCTAGAAAATATTGTAAGGAATTTGTTGTTGATTTGTTGATATTATATAATGTTGGCTCATATCCTACTCGTAGCACTACTCTAAATAATAAACAATATACGGGTATACAGTAGACACGGAGTATGTCTTACTTTTGGTCAATAACTTTAAGGATGTTCTACAGTAGTATCGAGTGAGTAGACCTGTCATCAGTCCATTATTCAAAGAGTTTGCTTTCAATTGCTTAAATTAGTTGCATTCTTACAGTTATATACTGTAGTATAATAAATACACTATTGTACAGTATATATATATAGAGTCTATAATATAGACCATAGACACAGTGGACCCATAGAATCGCCTAGGAATCGCTACCCCTTAAAAGGTTTGCTTCAGTATTATACATAGCAAATGTAAATGTAAAGCAAAATCTTGCATTTGTTTTGCATTGGTATAAATAAGCTACGATTTTTTTACAGAATATTCTGTATAAAAGTTTTACAGCTATGCTCGGTACCCTATTAAAAAACAGAAACACCGA